CCATCATAATTATCCTACTAATTCTAAAACTTATATAATTACTAGTTTTTTTACGTGCATTGCGTGATTGGGATAATGCCCAATGTTTTTTTTTAATAAGTACTTTAAAGTATATCAAGGCAAGATTATATGAGGATTGTTCATGCATAGATAATTGAATATTGAATTTGCGTATTTAAATACGTAATATAATTCTAAGTTTACAAATGCAAGATAATATAGTCAATATTGATTATAATTGTCAATAAAATAATTGTATAGGTATGGTTAAAATTAAATAGGGACAAAAGGGAGAGCAAATAAAAATTAGGGCATAAAATATTAAATATATACTAATATTGAAGAGCTAACTGTTGATTATCAAACAAGAACATTACGAGGTAGTTTCTCACTTCAATTTGTTGTGTGATTTGAATATGATTGGCTTAATTTTATATATATATATATATATATATATATATATATATATATATATATATATATATATATATATATATATTATTTTTTTAAAACAATTATTATTATTATTATTATTATTATTATTATTATTATTGTTATTATATGTATACCCTTATGTCATTTTACATGTTAATCTAAACAATTAATTTTTTTAAATATATTTTTATCAATCATTGATAAAAATATATTGCTGGTCAAATCCGCTAATATAATCCGAACACTAACTGCTAACTCCTGATTGTTAAACAAGGAAATTGCGATGTAGTTCTCACTTTAATTTATTATGTGATTTGAATACTCTATTTGTCAACAAATCCCTCAAGTAGTTAATATGATTGGTTCTATTAATTATATTTTTCTTTAATTTTTTCATAGTATTAATAAAATACTTGGTAAATAAATATATAACATTATTTTGTATTATAACTTTGATATTTAATTAAAAATAGTGCACAAAAAAAAAAGATAATAGACAATGTAGTGAATATTATCAATTGATGAATTTGAATGTAAAGAATTTTTACATTGGAGAAATATGAAGACAATATAACTAATAAAATTATTTCTCTTAATTAATTTATTGATAATGAATATTTTTTTTAATAAAGACATTGTAGGGACAATGTAGCGAATATAATCATTTGATGAATTTGAATGTAAAGAATTTTTATATTGGATAAAAATAAAGACAATATAACTAATGAAATTATTTCTCTTTTTTTTTTTTTTGAAAATTATATGTGGTGCTTTATTAGAAATATGCCGAAATAATGTCAGGTGGGAGAATATCCCAGTACATAGCAGCAGATTGCTGATAGGCCGAAGTAGCTAAAGCATGAGCTATAAAATTATCTAGTCTAGTAATAAAATGAAAAGAACAAGACTGAAAATAAGTTGCAGCTGCTCTGCAGGCATCAATGGCATAGCCGTCGTAAGTGCGAAACGTAGTAGGTGGTGTAGTAAGATAACGTTGTAGCGTTAAACAATCTATATATATCTCGATATTTTGTTCCCCTCGATCTTTTAACCATGACAAAGCTTCCTTGCATGCCAACGCCTCGGCCATAAGAGGTGAAAAACAATCCGGGAGGGGCGCACTGAAGGCCGAGACATACCCTCCATTCATGTCGAGGAGGATTGCTCCAACTGTAGCCTTGCCCGTGTTGTGCATAAAACCGGCGTCGATCCGACAAAGCTTCCGAGGTGGCACGACCTGTATAGCAACATGGGACCCGAGTAACGCATGTCAGCCAAGTTGGGGATGTGGCGATGCATGCAGTGGTGCGTGGGCTTGGGCTACTGGCGGGTTCGCCCGTTTCCACGCCTGCATTGCCGTAGTCGCGGCTGCCAGCAAGGATAGTGGCCGTGGTAGTAGTGCATTCCAAACCGCCCCGTTTCGTGCTCTCCAAATATTGTGTAGGATTGATGCTGCATATAACATCCCATCAGAATCTAAAACATTTAGGAGTTCACCAAACCAAATATGAAAAACATTCGTCACAATATTGAGGATTGGAAGGTTGGATCGGTCCCAATTGTTCTTTGCAAATTCACACAACACTGAGGCATGCATAGTGTCCTCTTGAGATATTCCACACATGGCACAACGTGGGTCCACTTCAACCCTTTTTATAACTAAGTTAGAAGTGGTAGGCAAAATATCACAAATGGCTCTCCATAGGAACATTCTCCATTTTGGGGGGATTTTGAGTTTCCACAAGGTTAACCACTTTGTAAAGGTCCCATTTTCATTCCCATAATTACCAACTATTAATCTGTATCCGCCTTTAACAGAATAAAATCCTCTCGGGTCTCCAGGCCAATACCAAGTATCATCATATTCCGGGGAAACTGGTATTATTAAAATATTTGTCACATCATCATGTTGAAATAGATCAGTTAGAATTGAGAGGTCCCATGTTCGCGTCTGTTGATCTATCAAACCCACCACTTTGGCATCCTGTAACTGTACCGGCATTTTTGTTTGTATCATGGGGTCTTGGTCATCCTGTAACCAGGGGTGAGTCCATATGAGAGTAGATTTCCCGTTTCTAATTCTGCGTCTTACCCCACTACAGATTATACTCTTGGCTGCCATAATACTCCGCCAGCAGAAACTGGGATTACTTCCTACTTGCATAAAAAAATGAGCCTTTGGCATAATACCGGGCTTTATATATACGAGCCACCAGGGACTCAGGTTTAGTAAGCATTCGCCATGCCTGTTTTCCTAACATAGCTAGGTTAAAAGCACGCAAATCCTTGAATCCCTGTAGGTTATTTAATTTATTGATAATGAATAATTTTTTTTTTGAATAAAGACACTGTAGACACATAATTCTAAAATAAAGAAATGTATATGTATTATTTTTTGTTGTAGCTACTAAATTATTATTTATAATTTAATAATAGTAAAATAGAGTACTAATTATGCCAACGTTGATTGGGATGAGGTTCAAACCTAAGATCTTTATTATTGAAATCAATGAGTAAGTTTACTGTGAACTAACAAAAATTAAGATAATATTTAACGGAAAAGTTAACAGATAATCATATTCATTAAGGATAAATTAGAAAATCTTAAGGAAAAATTAAAATATGATCTATCTGAGCCATTCATTTGATTAAAGAATTTGACTGCTATTTTTTCTATTCAATCTGAGTTATTTATTTGATCAAAAAATTTGACTGCTATTTTTTTTTATCCATTATAGGCCTAACTCTCTTGGGGTCTTATTAGTATAGTAGATATTTAAGTGCGAATCAAAAATCCACTATAATTTTCTTCCCTCTCGCGTCGAAACCAAGAACTACATCTTCTTCAACCGCTCAACTCTCTAATTTCTCCACAGCTGAAACTTTGAACCTTGAAATTATTCCAAAATATGGCTACCCACTCCAATAGCTCCGAGGAAAAGGACGTTCCACCAGCTAGCTTCAAGGATTTGGCAACAAGTGTTCTATCCGGAAGTATTCTTGATGTTCAAAGCTATATAGAGGTGACTGAGAACAAGGAGCTCACTCGCATCATCATTCAAGCCTTGGTGTGTTTGGTTGACATGAATTGCATTGGCATTGAATTACAATTCAATGAAATGATAAACTACATTGTTTGGTTGGAGGGAATTGCAATTCCCTCAATTCGTAGGTCCCCTATGAATTGCAATTCAATGAATTCATTGAAAGGGAGAAGGAAAGAAATGACATATTTGCCCTTTGAATGTTATTATTAATAGAGTTAATACCATCCGAGGTCCTCCGAGTATAGTGGTTTTGCCACATTTAGTCTTAAACATTCAAATTGACCATATGTGGTCCTTCGACTTTCAAATTTAACCATTCGTGGTCCAAGTTAACCACCCAGGGTCCTTCAACTATTAAATTTTAACCAACCATAGTCCTTTCAAGAGGATCATAACTGGTTAAGTTTTGAAACTTGAAGGACCATGGTGGTTAACTTGGACCACAAATGGTTAAATTTGAAAGTCGAAGGACCACAGATGGTCAATTTAAAAATTTAGGACTAAACGTGGCAAAACCACTATACTCGGAGGATTTCAAACGGTATTAACTCTTATTAATTTATTACATAAGAGTATTTTAGTCTTTATAACACTTCTCCCATTTTCATTATTTCTCCCTACCAAACAATGTAATTGTAATTCCTACTTTATTCCCACTTCATTCTTTTCCCACCGAATTACAATTCATTTCCTCTTTAATTCCTTACTAAGGTTATGTATGTATGTATATATGACGTATGTACGTACGTCACACAGATGGGGAGGGAGAAACAACTTCAAGGACACTTGACCTGTTTGGTAAATGATTGTTAGCTGTCAACTGATTGTGTTAATTAGATGGTATAACTAATTGATAACATTAACTGCTTGTAAAAAGATGTTTAGTAAATTAGCTGATAGCTGTTTTGTATAATTTCTTTTCTCAAAAAACTAATTAAAAAAGTTTCTTGAAGCACCTTTTTGAATTTTGGCATTTCTGGGGTCACAAATAAAATGAGACAGAGTGAGTATTATTTTTTGTTTTTAGTTTTTATTCTTTTATTTTAAGTTTTAACTTCAATTTTTTTAAAATTTAAATTTAGTTTATTTAGAATTGAAAATTGAAATTATAGTTATAAAATTAAAATTATTAATGGTAAGAAAAGTGAAAAAAATATATATATGATACTCTATCTATCCCATTTTATCTGTTCTGTTTACTATTTAATGTAAATCCCATTAAGTTTCTATAATTAAATTAGAAATACAAAATAAGATGGAGGGAGTATCTAGGAGCGTGGAGGAGTAGGTCCACAAAAAGGGAAGGAAAATGGTGAAGAATTAAAGAGAAAATATGAGAAGAAATTATATAGTGATGTGAAGAAGATAAACCTACAAAGGAGATAAGGGAGAGTGAATACGTATCACATGTTATGCACTTAATGAAAAAGCGTTTTACTACATTTTTCATTATTACTGACTTGAGTCTATTTAAAGGTTGCGAGTGCATAGACAATTTCAACACAAGGCCTTATTGAGCATTACACTTTGTAATACTTGAAAGTATGGCTTCTGTACCCTATCTCCCAATCCTCTTTCTCAACCTCTGCTTCTTCTTGCTTGCTACTTCTAAAGCTCTTTCTTCGTCATCCATTGCTTCTCAACAAACCAAATTCTGGAGCCAAAATGTAGATAGCAAAATGCCAAAATCTATCCTCTCTAAATTATCCCCACTTTCGGAGAGTGAGACAGAAGTGTTGGCTTCCTTAGTATCCAAACGATACTTCACATCGAACCCCAAATTCTGCACTACTGCTAATTTAGCTTGCTCGGATGACACGCATGTTGTAAAAACACTTGGTTTTATTAGCGCTGGGTGTCCTGCTTGTATTGTTCACCATAAAGTTTCCAATCCTTCGTTTCACTTTAGACCTTCAGACCTCAAAAAAGGGCACAAGGTCATTCTCCCAGATCTCACTAGCCAACTCTCTAATCGTGCTTTTCTTCCTTCTCAAATTGGGAGAAATATCCCTCTTAGCACGAGTGAGTTACAGAGAATATTTCCTATAGTGTTCTCCGATCCGCAGACAAAGGCCCGCATAGACACGAGCCTCCGCCATTGTGACACGACAACAGTCAATAGAGAGACACGTAGCTGCCTAAAGACCCTAGAGGATATGATTCAATTCTCCAGGAAAAGTTTAGGCCAAAAACATATGATTGCTTTGGCATCGGAGAATACCAAGAGCCTGGGAAACCAAGTGGTCACCACTCAGATTTCTAAACCTTATAACACAGACAAGATTGTCGTGTGCCATGAGGAGTTCTTTCCCTTTGCCACCTATTACTGTCATGTGTTGCTGTCAACACAAGTCTACGCCGTTGATATGGTTAATCCAATCGCAGGAGGTATACCTACTCCCCTTTTTGCACTTTGTCAAATGAATACTTCGTCTCATGTCGCTTTTGAGCCACATGAAACATCCCCAGAGGGGAAAGAGCAGCTGTGTCAATGGATCACTGAAATGGATATTGTTTGGATTGGTTATGATTAGATCGATAAATGAAAGGAATAAGATGAAATTGTCCGTGACACTTGAAATATAAAAGTTATGTATTTTATCTATTAATTAGGTTATGCAGTAGTTACGTTCATTAATTAAACTTGTTTAAGTAATTGTAAATAATGAAAGTTAAAAGCATAAAGAATGCCCAATCCACTATAGATGTTTTCTCCAAAAAGACACAAAGAAATGTTACGCAGTTCGGAGCTCCTTCTCCTACGTCTGCGGGGCAACCCACGTCTGCCCAATCCACTATAGATGTTTTCTCCAAAAAGAGTATTACAAGAGGTAAATACAGATGACCTCCAGCTTTTATCACTACCACTCTTTCTAACACATATTCAGGATTGACACATGAATACCCGAATAATCTTTACAAGATGCTTCAGCAATACCACGTACTGATCATGTAGTACGGATTAAATATTCTTAAGAAATATATAACATAACATATTAAAACAGGAAGCTATTAAATCAGTTGTGTAATTAGGATATTAATCTCAAGACAATCGGCATAGTCCTTTTTCGAACAGCTCCTTTTTATAGCCAATGTTTAGCTTCATTTGTGATCCTCAAAAGTAGCCCCTTTTCTTTTTCTTGTTAGAAAAACCACTGCCTTTCCTTGTTAGAATAAACCACTACCACACTTTTTATTTCTTTGACATCTTCATACGCTGACTTCATACTCCAAGGCACAACATCCACATATTTATATCACATGGTCCAAAAATATAATTAACTTTAACAACTCTAATTAATTAAAAACAATAAAACTATTTACTAAATAAAATAGCCAATAACTTAATGTGTAAATTATTTTACACTTACAATCTCCCCCTTTGACATTTTATTTGGTAAAACTCAAGTATCAAATACTTTGGGCAAAATTGAAAGTATAATCAATTTAGTTTTTATTAAGAGCCCTTAGTATAGGTACTGAACAAGACACAAAGATATAAAACCAAAAATAACAACTTAAGTTCTTTTTGGACCATTTGTGAATAAAGTACCTGATTGGAATTCTTCAAGTCTTGGATCACACACAGAAGCATTGAATTCATAGCATACCACATCATATAATAACTTGTTCATGTGAGAGTAGCATAACCCGAAACATCCATTCAACTTGTTTAGATGCACCAAACAAAACTACTACTCCCCCTAACACATATAGTTCTATGATTTCCATAATGAAATCCAAAAAACAACCAAACAAATGTAACCACTGCCAAATTACCAAATATTTCATCATAGTCCTTACCAAAAATTCCATACTGATCCAATATGTCCAAAAGATACCATAATAATCCAAAAGATTCCAAAATCTCCAAAAGTTACCATAATACTCCGTAATACTCCCCCTTTTTGCCAAATAAATGACAAAGGAAGGTGAACATCATAATAGTGGATTAGATTTACCGTGTAGACGAGGTGCCCGAAACTGAGCCGTTATCAGCATCATCAGTATCAGATATCATACACCAAGAAGACAATCCAAGAAGAATCCAATACTCACAGAAATTGTACCGCAAATAAAGCCTTATAAGCAATCTCATCCAAAATATTCTTCAGAAATAATCTCATCAAGTAGATAATCCAAGAAGAATCCAAATAAGGTGATGATTATAAAATGAGACCCCAGAGATTATGATAAGCCAAATAAAACGATAACCCAACGAGATAATCCAAAAACTGATAGAGTCCAGTAAGAAAATCCATCTATACCCAAGAAGTTCAATATAACCGAAAATACCCAAGAAATTTGTTCATAAGAGATTAAGAAGAACTCCCCCTCAAAATATACATCGTGATTGTTTCCTTTGCCAAGAATTTCACATTAGCTTGAAGCTGTAATTTGGACTCCATAATAAGTTATTTGCTTTGTTTGAACCTGCAGAAGATTTAAAAAAAAAAAACGAGAGCCCTAGAGTCATGCACACGCAACTTGCAAACAACTCAGCAAAACACATAAGAAAAAAAATTCAGGAATTTTCAATTCTCAATTCGAGTCAAACAAATTATCAAATAAAACAGTAAGCACATTCATGTAAAGCAAGCCAAAGATTCAAAATAAGTCAAATTTAGACACAGACACATATGAACCAAATTTAGGCACAGGTTCAGGCCAGATATCACGGAAAACACACAAATAAACAATTGAGGCACAGATAGCGCGGGAAACACATGAATAAAAACACATACGGTCATGACCGGACCAAACAAACCACAATCACATAAACATAAAGTAACACAAGAGAATAAACACATTAATCAATTTGCACCAAATTAAACAAATCAAAAGGAACACTTTAATCCACGCAAATTAAACGAGCACTTTAAAGAGTAACCCAGGCAAATTAAACGAACATTTTAAAGATAATGAATCCAGAATGATCAAATGTACCTGATGTGTGAATAAATTCAGAGTTACACACATGTAGAAGTGGGAATGAATAATTCATGTTCAATTTTAAAGCCACTCACATAAAATAAAAGACAAAATTCGTCTTAGGCACATTTAAAACAGAGAAAAAAATGTAAATGGCAAGCGAAGACTGCGAAAGAAGATTGCCAGTAAAAAATTGTAACACATTAGGATTCTCAAACTCGGGTATTGAGGTAATACCAATTAAAGGAGAAGAGTTAGAGTGTGTACCAGCTTCCTGAGTGTTTGAAGCCTTCAAAATACTTACGGTCAGATTGAGTTTCCACATCATCTAAATGAGACACCTTCCTCTTTTCTCCAGTACCTGAAACAGACAGTTTCTCCTTTCCCTTTCGGGAAGTTTTAGACAGAGGTACAATGATAAAGGGAACCGAGTCTTGGTTAGGTGAAACAGAAATGGGCGCAAGTTCAGACTGAGTTTTAGAAGCAGAAAAGTAATGGGGATTGAAAAAGGCCGAACAAGACACGGGTAGAACATAAATATGTTGTGCAATATTGCGAAAAAGATTCGCCCTTTCAGAGGGAGATACAGAGGAGAGAAATGAGTTCTCCATTAATGGAAGCTTCGAAAAGAAACAGATGGCGTGACGGGTAGATGATGAAGAAGACGAAGGAGTGTTTGTCTCGGCTAGGCTTAGTGGAGGTAATAAATGAGACAAAAAAATTTAATTGTGAGGGGATGTCTTCTAAAAAGCCGTGTAGTGATAGGATGGGTAGAAGGCTTAGGTGATAATGTAGGCTATTGAGTAGGATTAGGAGAGAGAATATGTGTTTGTCTTGAATTAGTCTTCTATATGTAACACACAAAAAAATAAGATGGGAGTATATAAAAAAATCGAACATCTGAGAATGTGAACAATGGTCGAACCACCCTGTTATCCCTGCATTAACACTCACGTAGAAAAAAAATAACTGTTAAAAAAAAATAAAGAGAAAGAAAAAATTTACCTGCGCGAGGAAATTATACAGTAAGATTGCCTACGCCAGTCACCTGACCTTTGACACCGTTACCAAAGGTAACTTCACCGTTACTGGTATTTACGTTGTTCAGGAATTTGACATTTCCTGTCACGTGACGGGAACACCCGCTGTCAAAATACCATTTCTCTTCTCTTCCTGCACTTTTAGAGTGAAACGAAACAAACGATATATAATCATTCTTTTTAACCCAAATTTGTTTTGTGAAATGTTGTATGTTCTTGAGCCTGAACTTCTCAATTCTTTGATCCTTGTAGAAATAGTAGCATTCAGGTCTGGTATGACCGCGTAACCTGCAATAGTGGCAAACAGGATTATATAGTTTATAATGCATCTTATTTGCGCTTACTTTACCATAGGAGCGTTTCATAGTGCTGGATTCAGGGATGTCATCTGGATCAGGTCCGGATGCTTTGACAAATACGGTCTGATCTTTGGAGTTACTTCCAGTGAAGCCCAAACTAAATTTTGCAGAAGTTTTCCCGCCGGAATCAAGAATTTTATCGAGTGTTGAAGTGGTATCCATCATTTGGATTTGTTGTTTGTAGGTGCTGAGCTCCTGTTTCAAATTCTGAACTTCTTGTTGGAGTTTTGCTTCTCGGTCAGCTGCTTCCTTAAGAAGTACATTTCTGGTTTGTACTTCGTTTTGAAGTCTTTCCTCTCGACCTGCTGCTTCTTTAAGCAAAACATTCCTATCAGCTACTTGATTTTGATATACTTTATTTGCATTTGTTACAATCTCTATTTCACTAGCTAGCTTGCAGTTCATTTTTCTTAAAGCTTCCCATTTGGGATACAACTTATTAAATTCAGCTTCAAAAGATAAAGCATTTTGTTCCACATCTTCTGCAGAGACATAGTCACCACCTTCTGAGTCTTCAACAGGTTCTGAACTGTCAGTAAATCGTGCCGTAAATGCAACAAAATTACCCAAAATTTCCTCGACATCTGACCCAGTTGGTTTAACGTCGGGCTCGTCATCGCTCCAGGTAATGGCTGACATAGACTTTTTGCGTCGAAGATAGGTGGCGCACTCAGCTTGTACATGTCCAAATCCCTCGCATTCATAACACTTGATGCCTTTGTTGTTGGACCTTTCTTTGGACTGTCCTGGACGTGAGACAGACTGTTTGGCGTTTGGCGCCCCTGTCCTAGGTGCAGTCTTGAATGACGTTTCTCCCTTTTGTGAATTTCTATTGTGTGTGTTTTTGGATACCTGTTTCAAAATTTTGGAAAACTGTTTAGTTAAGGACGCAACTGTATCATCACTAGTTTCATCTGTATCGGATACTACATTATTTTCTTCAGCGGCAAAAGCAATATTTTTTTGTTTTTTCGTATGATCAGTTAAAATCTCCATTTCATATGTTTTAAGATTTCCCATTAGCTGAGTAACAGATTTTTTCTCCCAGCCATCATGCTCTTGGATGGCTGTGACTTTCATTCGGAACCTGGGCGGTAAAGATCTCAGTATCTTTTTGACGAGTTTCTCTTGCGAGAATGGTTCACCAAGGACCATTGCGCGATTTGCCAGTTCCTGTATGCGAGTATGAAAGTCGATGACTGTTTCATCCTCGTTCATGCGCAATTCTTCGAATCCTGACTGGACCAGTTGCAGCTTCGACTGTTTTACAGAGGTAGTTCCTTCGTATGTTGACTCAAGAGCCTCCCAAGCACCTTTAGCTGAAGGAATACCTGCAACAATTGAAAACTGGCTTTCATGCATAAGAGAATAAATTGTGTCTAAAGCCTTATCATTATTTCCTGCATTGGTTATCCCTGTTTGAGTCCACTCAGTCTCTGGCTTAGTGACTTCTGTTCCATCAGTGCTGGAACTGGGTTTAGTGGGATGTGTCCAACTTGACACCACGGACCGCCATACGGCTTCACCTTTAGCTTTTAGATGCGTACGGGTGCGAGCCTTCCAATATGCGTAGTTGTCGCCGGTCAACTGGGGAAGGACTTTAGTTCGCTCCATTCTGTAACACTTAACACCCCGTGAGATCAAACAAATAAGTAATAAACAGATAAATAATAAAAGCCGCTGAAGATATGAATTCAAGAGGCACGGAATCGTCAGATCGATAGACTAATAAATTAAGTCTACAGGCTCTGATACCAATTGAAATTGCACCGTGACACTTGAAATATAAAAGCTATGTATTTTACTTGTTAATTAGGTTATGCAGTAGTTACGTTCATTAATTAAACTTGTTTAAGCAATTGTAAATAATGAAAGTTAAAAGCATAAAGAATGTAAAGCATAAAGTAAATTAAAAACACAAAGAAATGTTACGCAGTTCGGAGCTCCTTCTCCTACGTCTGCGGGGCAACCCACCGTCTGCCCAATCCACTATAGATGTTCTCCAAAAGGAGTATTACAAGAGGTAAATACAGATGGCCTCCAGCCTTTACCACTACCACTCTTTCTAACACCTATCCAGGATTGACACACGAATACCCGAACAATCTTCACAAGATGCTTCAGCAGTACCACGTACTGATCATGTAGTACGGATTAAATATTCTTAAGAAATATATAACATAACATATTAAAATAGGAAGCTATTAAATCAGTTGTGTAATCAGGATATTAATCTCAAGACAATCGGCAGAGTCCTTTTTCGAACAGCTCCTTTTTATAGCCAATGTTTAGCTTCATTTGTGATCCTCAAAAGTAGCCCCTTTTCTTTTTCTTGTTAGAATAAACCACTGTCTTTCCTTGTTAGAATAAACCACTGCCACACTTTTTATTTCTTTGACATCTTCATACGCTGACTTCATACTCCAAGGCACAACATCCACATATTTATATCACATGGTCCAAAAATATAATTAACTTTAACAACTCTAATTAATTAAAAACAATAAAACTATTTACTAAATAAAATAGCCAATAACTTAATGTGTAAATTATTTTACACTTACATGAGAAATAAATTAGCTACTACTATTAGAACCATGGGCTAAACACAATGTTTGGTCAAGAATTTGTCCCATGGTGAAGTACTATGTAATATAACTGCTCTGCTTAGCTTCCAGTATATTAGTTTGTTATCAAATGTTTAAGGTATCATACCATCCAATGTAAGATTGTATCCATATTGCAAGTAGTTGATACGTTTATTTACTATTTTCAATACTCTTTATAAATAAAGGTACATATATAAATAAAAATGAGTTAATATCTTAAATGATCCTCTAAGTATTGTGATTTTTATTTTTTTTGAATACTACTGAGGTTCTGTTTGGCAAACTTAGCTGAAAACCTATAAGTTAGGAGCTGAAAACTGAAAATGAGCTGAAAGCTGAAAAACTATAAGCTCGGACCTGAAAACTGAAGAGCTGTTAAGCTAGCTGTTATGATTGAAAGTATTTAGTAAAATTAGTTTTTTGATAAGCTGATAAATGTAAAAAGACTAAAAAGGACATCGTCATAAAATTTAAATTAGTTTGTTTACATATTAAAATTCAAAATTTTGTCTTTAAAAAAAAATTAACATTTTGAAATAAAACTATTAGCATAATCATTATCTAGCATCTCATAATGAAGTAGCAATATTGTTGCAAATCTCATAATAATAATAATAATAATAATAATAATAATAATAATAATAATAATAATAATAATAATAATAATAATAATAATAATAATAATAATATTTGTGATGAAAGTTGCGGGTAAAGGAGAAGAGAAATAGATTTTAATTGGGAAGGGTAAATTATGTCATTTCTTTAAAATAATAAGGATAAAGATGAAAAAAAAAAAGTTAAGAAACTAAATTATGTCATTTCTTTAAAATAATAATGATAAAGATGAAAAAAAAAAGTTAAGAAACTAGGAGCTTATTTTGAAATGCTACCTTAGGTAGCGTTCCAAAATAAGCTCTTATTTTAAGCTAGGAGCTTATTTTGGGAATGTTACCAAACAGAGCTTATAGCTTATTAGTAGCTTAAAATAAGCTATAAACTCCTAAATAAGTTTACCAAACAGAGCCTAACTCTATTACAATGTAGTACTAACTATTTTCTCAACCAAATGAAGCACACCTCAAAAACTCAAACTCACAGCCACTACTACAGAAAACGGATTTAACGTCACCATTATAACGTCGGTTTTTAGAAAATCCGACGTTAAATATTTAAAATTATTTTTTATTTTTTAAAAAATACATATGACGTCGGTTATTTGGTATACCCTAAACCCTATAAGGGAGTAACTGGGTACCATTGGACCACAAGGTCCTGGTAAGTAGGGGTGGAAATAGGCCGAGCCGAGTCGAGCTTTGGAAAATTAGGCCTGGGCCTGTTACGAAAATCTAAAGCTTGGGCCTGGGCCTGAGCCTGTATGTAGACTTTTTGTTAGGCTCAAGCCTGAGCCTGCAATTAGCCTGGCCTGGCCTGAAGCCCTTTTAAAAGCCTGTTTAATATTTAGGTCATTAAAAATGCTTCAAAGTATGTCCTACCTTAGCCTATTAAAGTCTACATGTTAAGACTTTTTAAAAACTTTAATATATCTAAATAATATAAGAAATGTACCTAATACAAAACTAATACATAATTACATAAGTATACAAAACTTTAGTATATTTAAATAATATATACTTGGGTATAGGCCAGGCCTGTAGGCCTGAAGGCCGAGCCTAGTATATATAGGCCTGGCCTGTTTAGTTTAATAGGCTTTAAAATTGTCTCAAGTCTGACTTTTTTACTAAACGAGCTAGGTCTAACTAGGCTTTAATTAGGCCAGGAAATAGGTCCCTACAAGGGGCCTGGCCTATTCCCCAATCGTTATGCGTTGGACCCGTGTCCAGCATGCTTGCTGGACACGGGTAACAGTGCCGTTAGGCACTGTTATCTCCTTTTTTTTTTTTTTTTTTTTTTTCAGACCGCTTCATTGTAAGAGTATATGTTCATAATTTTATTACTATATGTTAATAACTATACATTCATAACTCCATAACTATACGTTCATAACTCTATAACTGTACATTCATAACTCCATAACTGTACATTCATAACTCCATAATTGTACATTCATAATTTTCGAAGCTCTATGTTCACAATTTTCGAAGCTCTATGTTCACAATTTTAGAGCTCTATGTTCATAATTTTATCACTATATGTTCATAATTGTAAGTTCATAATGTTAGAGCTCTTTGTTCATAATTCGATCAATAACTGTACATTCATAATTCCATACTGTAGATTCATAATCTCATAACTGTAGATTCATAACTCCATAACTGTAGATTCATAACTCTATAACTGTACATTCATAACTCCATAACTGTACATTCATAATCTTCGAAGCTCTATATTCACAATTTTAAAGCTCCATGGTCATAATTTTATCAGTATATATGTTCATAATTGTAAGTTCATAATGTTAGAGCTCTGTGTTCATAATTTCATAATTGCATAACTGTATATTCATAACGGCATAACTGTACATTCATAACGGCATAACTGTACATTCATAATTCAAAAAAAAAAAAATAACGACGTTAACGCCGTTAACGGCAAAACGCGCGCGATTTTTTTTTTTTTTTTTTTAACTAAATGACGCGTTTTTTTTTTTAAAAACGACGTCGTTTTGGGCCCGTGTCCACAATTCAATGTGGACACGGGTCCAGGGCATAATTTGCCCCTATTCCCACCCTTACTGGTAAGTATTGTGATTTACTAACTGTGAACCTAAACTTTTAATTGGACGATGAGCAACCTTTCTCTGAGCTCCCTTAGTCTGTTGTTACTAGGGGTGTAAACGAGCCGAGCCGAGCCCGAGCCTGGGTATGCTCATGCTCGAGCTCGTTAATGATAGCACTGCTCGAGCTCGAGCTCGAGCTCGTTCGAACTCGTGAACTGATGCTCGAGCTCGAGCTCGGCAATTGTCGAGCTGCTCGAGCTCGAGCTCGAGTTTAGGTTAGAATTTAAGCTCAATTTTGATCTCGAATTTGACCTGTTTGATTTAAAATTTAAACAACTTTGTTTTATGACTTTTATCGATACATAATTATTAAACTATTTTAATTTCCCTCCCCTAATTATTATTTTTATATACTAAATATAATATAATTATATTATATATTATATAATATATTATAAGGCTCGCAAGCGGCTCGTCGAGCCGCGAGCCTACAATACCTAAGCTCGGCTCGTGCTCGTTTAATCCACGAGCTGCTCGAGCTCGAGCCGAGCTCAATTTTGACCGATTTCGAGCCGAGCGTTGACCGAACTGCTCACGAGCTACTCGTGAGCGGCTCGGCTCATTTACACCCCTAGTTGTTACTTAACCGGAATTGGAGAGAAAATATGTCTTTTCAAGTTCATCTTGTGTTTGATTTTCCTTTAAGTTGCCTAAAAAGCCTTGAATAACGGCTTTATTTGGCAGACGAGAATTGAAGAAAAAAAAGCTCATTTGGGATCAGTTAAACATGAGCGATTGGCTGATGGAAGAATTGTTCAAAGGGTGGTGTTACATATATTACATTTTATACAATCTAATTATCTAAATAATCAATAGAGTCAGAAGTATTTAAAAAAAAAATCTAAAAATTCTCTGTCCCGTTTTATTCTTATTTATTATGGCCCTGTTTGGTAAAATAGTCAGTTTATAGGCCAATTTTTGCTTATTTGACAATTATTAGTTGTTTGACTTGTTAAAAAATTAATACAAGTGTTTGGTTAATTAGCTTTTTGTAATTCCAAAATGCTAAAATTCAAACTTTTTCAATTAACTTTTTGAGAAAAGAAATTATATCAAACAGCTATCAGCTAACAGCTAATTTAGCAAACACTTTTCTACAATCAGCTAATATTGGCTTGTTTGGTTATCAGCGGTTAGCGGTAGCGGATTGTGTTAGCGGTTATTAGATAGCGGATTGTATTAGCAGGTTTGACCAGCGGATTGTATTAGCGATTTCTAAAAAAAACGTTTGGTAAAATTAGTTGTTTAGATTAGCGGTTAAGGTGTAAAAAGACATATAAGGACATTGCTACAATAACTACAATAATAATACGAAATTATAATTATAATATAATAATAATATTATTATTGTTATTGTTATAATTATTATAATTATTAGTTTTAGTTTTGTTGTTGAAAAAAAAAATACAATACAAAGGGGAGCCAAATTGGCAGTGCATAGTTAATTTTTTTTTTTTTTAATTAATGAAGGGCGTTTTGGGGAAAGAAAGGTCTTTGGGTGTTTTGGGGAAAGAAAGCAGCGTTTGGGTTTCAGCGGTTCGGAGCAAAAACGCTGCTCCGAACCGCTATCTAACCAAACAAAGATTTTGACGTTTTGACCAAGTCAAAACGCCAAAATTGGTGGATCCGCCAAAATTGGTGGATCCGCCAAAATCTTGGCGGGTCCGCCATTAACCAAACAAGGCCATTATCAATTAGTTATACCCTCTAATTAATCCAATCAGCTAACAGCTAACAGCCATTCAGGGCAGGCCCTGTTTGCCCAGGGCCCCAATTAATTTTTTTTTTAAAAAATTCATATATGCTATACCGCAAATTATGCAGTGGACTCGTGTCCACAATGCATTGTGGACACGAGACCAAAACGACATCGTTTTCAGGGAAAACGCGTCATTTCAGTTAAAAAAAATTTTGATTTTGTATCGCTGTTAACGGCGTTATTCGTTTGTGCCATTATGAATGTATAGTTATGGGATTATGAATGTACAGTTATGGAATTATGAATGTAAGTTATAAAATTATGAACACAGAGCTCTGACATTATGAACTTACAATTATGAACATATAATGATAAAATTATGCACATAGAGCTCTAAAATTGTGAACATCGAGCTTTGAAAATCATGATTTTACAGTTATTGAATTATGAATGTACAGTTACGGAATTATGAATGTACAATTATGCAATTATGAATGTACAGTTATGCAATTATGAATGTACAGTTATGAAATTATGAACACAAAGCTCTGCCATTATGAACTTACAATATGAAGATATAGTGATAAAATTATGAATATAGAGCTCTAAAATTGTGAACATAGAGCTTCGAAAATTATGAAGTTACAGTTATTGAATTATGAATGTACAGTTACGGAATTATGAATGTACAATTATGGAAGTATGAATGTACAGTTATGGAATTATGAACATAGAGCTCTGACATTATGAACTTACAATTATGAACATATAGTAATAAAATTATGAACATATACTCATATAACAAAGCGGTCTGAAATTAAAAAGAAAAAAAAAAGAAGAAGAAAAAGAAGATAACAGTGCCTAACGGCACTGTTACCCGTGTCCAGCATGCATGCTGGACACGGGTCCATAGCATAACGATTGTATGCTATACAGCCATAGCAGCCTGCTGCTGTAATGAACTTTTTTTTGAAAGCAAAGGTGCGAACTTCATTACTGTAAGTGTGGAATAATAGCATCAGGAGGGACATCGTCCCAATACATAGTAATATCCTGGTCAGAGACCAACGAAGCTAATGTATGAGCAATAATATTAAAACGTCTAGGGATAAAACGAAACTGACATGAACTAAACTGTGCCATAAACACTTGACACTCTTGAATCACAATTCCAACATATGATCTGGGCTGCGAGCCAACTCTGGATAGATAGGATTGTAGGACCGAACAATCCGTGAAAACTGTAACTTCTGTTACCTGCCGATCTTTCAACCAAGATAACGCTTCCTTACAGGCTAAAGCTTCCGCTGTGATAGCATTTTCACAAAATGATAGCCGACCACTCGTTGCCGCCACAAAGCCTCCGCCCCCATCCAATACTACTGCCCCAAACGCTGCTGTCCTTGTATGAGGGCTCCACGCTGCGTCTACATAGCAAGCTGTCCCATTTGGCGTTACTGCATGGATTTGCTGCTGGATCGTTGGTGTTGTTTGCGCCCAAGCTGCTTTCCAGGCAGTGAGGGTAGCTTTGGCGCACAACCACAACTTCTTTGGCGACATCATGCTCCCCTCCCACACTGCTGTGTTTCGCGCAATCCAGAGGTGATATAAGACTGCAATAATTTGAATAAGATTCTCCATTGTTAGCACAATCATTGCATTCTGAAACCATTCAACAAAAGATCCCCCAAACACAGAAGTTATATCGAGGCTAGATTCATTCCAAACTCGACAAGCATATTGACACTCTATTAAGCAATGCATAACATCCTCATTAAAATCAATACACATAGGGCAGGCTAGAGACACATCAACTCTTCTAATTGCCAAGGCTGTTGTAGTTGGCAAAATACCACTTATGGCTCTCCACAAGAAAGTCTTCCATTTTGGTGGGACATCCAATTTCCATAGTGCATTCCATCTATCAAAATCAGTATTATTTTGTATTTCTCCCACAATCGTCCGGTAAGCACTTTTAACAGAGTATGATCCACTTTGCTCCCTGTACCAATACCATGTATCCTCATAATCCGGACAAACAGGCACCCTGCGAATCCTATGTACATCAATGGGGTCAAAAATATCATTCAAAATATCCAGGTCCCAGGTACGAGTATCCTGATCAATCAAACCTGATAATCCCGCCGCATAGATATTATGTGGTAAAACAGTATGGATCTTATAATCCAAATCCAATAGCCAAGGATCCTTTCCTATCAATGTTGCTTGTCCATTCCCAATCCTCCTCCTTATCCCTCCACATACAAGATCATGGGTAGCCATAATACTTCTCCAACAATAACTCGGGCTATTTCCCACAGTAGCATCTATAAAATTAGAATTTGGGAAATACCTTGCTTTATATACCTTTGTAACCAAAGATTGTGGCTTTGTAAGGAAGCGTCATGCCTGCTTCCCCAACATTGCTAGATTAAAGGCCTTTAGGTCCTTAAAACCCAGTCCCCCAGCAATTTTGGGCTTACTGAGACGATCCCAAGCCATCCAATGAATACCTCCTCCACCTGCGCCCCCCTTTTCCCAAAAGTATCTATTCATAGTCCTCTGAATCGCCACACAAAGTGAGTCTGTTAGCAAAAAGACTCCCATTGAAAAGGTAGGCATAGCCTGAGCTACCGTTTTCAATAGAATCTCCTTACCAGCTTGTGACAACAATTTCTTATTCCAGGATCCCACCCTTTGCTGAATCTTTTCCTCAATGTAAGCAAAGACCTGTTTCTTATTTCTACCAATAAACGACGGTAGCCCCAAATATTTCCCGAAATCACTCGCTTGAGCCACCCCCAAAACTGCAGCCACCTCCCCCCTTATCTCTTCTGATGTATTCTTACTAAAGCAAACACTGGATTTGTGGTAATTTATAGACTGGCCAGACAACTTTTCATAGAGCTCTAAACATCGCTTAACTGCATCCCCTTCCTGGACATTTGCCTTAAAGAACAAGAGGCTATCATCTGCAAAAAACAAATGAGATATAGCCGGAGCCCCTCTTGCTACTCTACACCCATGGATAGCACCCATAGACTGCGCCTGCTGCAACATCAAGGACAATCCTTCTGCACACATAATAAACAGATAAGGAGACAAGGGGTCTCCTTGCCTGAGGCCCCGTGTTGGCACCACAACTCCTCCTACTGCCCCATTTATAAGGATGTTGTATGAAACCGAAGTAACACACAACATAATCAAACTTACCCATCTATCTGCAAATCCCAGCGCTCTCATCATCTGTTTCAAAAAAGTCCACTCCATCTTATCATATGCTTTAGCCATATCTAGCTTTAGGGCCCCCCAACTAGTCTTTCCACATTGCTTCCTGTTAAGATAATGTCCCACCTCAGCAGCAATTAGGATATTATCTGTTATTAACCTGTCAGGGATGAAAGCACTTTGTGATTATGAAATAATAATATCCATAAACGGCCTCATCCGGTTCGCTATCATTTTAGCCATAATCTTATAGACCACATTGCTTAACGCAATTGGCCTCAAATCTGCAGGGCTCTCAGGGACCTTCTTTTTTGGGATTAAGACAACATTAGAATCATTTAATCCCTCTGGGAAAACACCCGTATTCAGACAATTGAGCACAAAATCTGTCACCTCAGCTCCCACAACACCCCAGAAGTGCTGATAAAAGCCTGGATTCATTCCATCCGGCCCAGGCGCCTTATCCGGAAACATAGCAAATAAAGCTTCTTTGACCTCCTCCGCCACAAATGGTTTCAACAAAGAGTCATTATGCAATTCAGACACACGAGGGGGCACCGTACTAAAGAAAGTACTATGGGTCGGGGCATTAGATGGCTTAAAAATATCAACAAAATAATCAATAAAAACAGCATTCATAGCACCCTTAGTAACCCAGTTTCCATCCACCCCTTTTAATCTAGTCAGATAATTTTTCCGTTTACGAGATGAAGCATACCTATGATAAAATCTGGTGTTTGCATCTGCCCCACGGAGCCAGTGTTGCTTTGCCCTTTGTCGCCAATAGATATCCTCCTGCGCCTCCAAACGGGACAACTGAGCACTGATTGTATTGTACTCAGCTAGCACTGCTGGGTCTCTGCCTCCTTTTAGTCTCATCAGTTTTGCACGCAAGAGTTTCAACTGCTTACCAAACATATGAAACCTATCTCCACCCCAGGCCTGCAAACGCTCCTTACACAATTGTAGGTTATTCAGCAGCCCACTCCCCTGCCCATCAAGCAATGCCTGCTCCACCACTCCTCTACAGCCAGAATCCAGAAGCCAAACCATTTCAAAACGAAACGCCCGGCGACCACCTCCACCAAAACCCATAGGATTAGAAATACTCAGAAATATCGCAGAGTGATCTGACTTACGCGTGAGTATATTAACTGTCTTAGCTTCCACCAATAGCTCACGCCACTCCATAGTTGCTACTGCTCTATCTAGCTTTTCCTCAACCCAGTCCCCCGTACCCTCACCCCTTTCCCAGGTGTATGGGTATCCCTCCATAGGCAACTGCAGTAAACCACATATATCTAGTGTTTCCCCAAAACCTCGTAGCAAACTTTCCGGATGTGGATTATTTCCCCACTTCTCAGATTGGAATAAAAGATCATTAAAGTCACCAATTACAACCCATGGTAGTGTGGATTGCGTTGATAACCTCTTTAAAAAATCCCATGACTCCCGCCTCCTGGTTCTTTGTGCATGCCCATAATAACACGTCATTCGCCACGAAGGGTGACTTTCTAACGTGACCTCCACATCCACATGATTTTTAGAGTAACTAATCAACCTTGCAGTGTTATTATACCTCCATAATAATGCCAAACCACCACGCTGCCGTACAGGATCCACGTAAAACACCCCTTCAAACCCTAGTTTTACTCGTAACCTCTCCGCATGATCACTCTTCACCATTGTCTCAATCAAAAATACAAAATTCGGCTTCTTACTGGACACCATGTCCACCACCTCCCGAACTGTCCGTGGATTGCCCAAGCCACGACAGTTCCAACATAACGTACTCATTGGGACCGGCGGGTCTGCGCAGCAGCACCCGCCATGAACACGTTTTTTGACACATCAGCCATTGCTATATCTTCATCCCCATTACGCCTCCCTCCCTCATACCCCTCGTCCCTCCTCCTTTTCGCCACCGCCTCCACTGCCGGCTCCACCAAAACACCACCTCCCGAACCCACCTTCTCCCCCTCCACCCGTGACTCCCCCACCCGAACCCCCAATGCCGCCCCCCCCCCCCCCCCCCCCCAACCACATCTCTCGGCCTACCACCCACAGGTACCAACCAGTTCTCCCCCACCTCCCTCGGTCCCCTACCACCCCCCACTCTCATCTCCGGGCCATATGGATACTGCTGAACCGGGATCATAGAGACCCGAGCCTTCACGCAAAATTTGTAGGAATGCCCCATCAAACCACAGAAAAAACAAAAGGAATGAAGCCTCTCGTACCTAAAGTTAACCCAACATGTAGTTTTATCACGCTTTAACAGCTTCATGCGCCTCCGCAGCGGCTTATCAACCGGAATCGACACACGGATACGATAAAACGCTAACCATGGTGCCCCC